AAATGTGGAAAGGAAAGGAAAAGAAAGGGAATAAGTAGGGAGAAAAAGAAGAAAAGAGAAGAAGGGAAAGGGATGGAAAGGAAAAAAGAAGGGGAAAAAAGAGGAAAGAAAAAGGAGAGGAAAAAGAAAAAAGAGAGAGGGAGAGAAAGGAAAAAAAGAGAAAGTGTAAAGGGAATGGCAGGAAAAAAAAGGGAAGTAAAAGAAAGATAAGAGAAAAATTATATATTTGATGACTAAAGAATTAATCCAATCTATGTTTTAATATATGTAGAAGTTTGAATGAATGGGATATCATCACAGAAAGGATAAACACTGTATGGAAAATAAGAAAGTCTATACAGTCGACTTGTAAGAAAGGAAAAAAGAGATAGAAAGGAGAATAAGGAAAATATGAATCTTCATAATTTTTGTGTTTTGGTTAACAATATGTGAGTAACATGCATTATTGTGAAAGTTTGAACGTAACTGTGACAACAATATGTATAATTGCTGTAATAGTAGAAATTAATCCTGGAAAATAAAAATTGATATACTGTTAATAATGATCTAAGGCAATGAAATGTAAAGATATAAGAATACTAATAAGTTATCCATCTGTGATTATGGTATGATTATTGTTATGTTTGATTCTAGAAAGAATCATTATTACCCTCTTTTGTATGTCTATATATATAAAATGTTTTATGATATATAATTCAATAAAAAAAAAAAGAATTACAAAAAAAATAGAAAAATAACAACAACTATTTAAGAAAGAGAGAGAGATAGGTTACATTGGAAATAACATGTTAGAACAGAGACAAGAAAGGAGGTGTGCAATGGAACAAGATTATGGTGTCTGTGTTAAGGTGTAGCCTCATCTCAAGCCCAGCTTCGTTTTATGTGCCTTTTGCTTCCCACTCTGCAGGTGTGTTGTGTGCCGAGCAGCCAGATGGTCCCCTAGCCAGCTTTTTGTGTATGACTGGCAAGCTGTACCAAGTCCCATCCCAGCAAACACAACAATCATTAATAAGTAGTAGACAGCCTTACAGGGACACAGCCATGCAGATCAGTTTTATGGAATATTCTCTCACATAAGAGGGATGAGACATTAAATCTAATGTTTCAGCAGACATTTCTGTTTCCAAAATATTAGGGATTACTCACTCAACACCAGATTATAGTTTATTTAGGAGACACTCTTGGTATGATCCAGAAATACTCATAAGATCAGAAGAGCACAATAAGCTGATACCAGCCATACTATAGCTGCAAATCATTATCCAAAGTCTTGTTTACATTGTGTAAACTGTGCTGTGGGCAGTAGTCATTGGAGCCACCAATTGCTCATGAGTGCTGCAATGGTTCAGCTCTCTCCAGTGAGAAAATAAAAAATATTTCCTACATTTGGGTGTGCTGTGCTCATAACATGTACTCAAGTTGGATGAAATGGGCACAGCAAAGGAGGAAGTAAAATACAAATTATAAGCAAATCTTAGCAGGGACAGAGTCCGGGGACCTCCCAACTGCCTTGTCCAAATTACAGGATCCTGTTAGGCTGTCCTGGTTTTGTTCCCTGTTATCCTAATGCTAGTAGCTTCAGAAATCAAGTCCCCAAAATGCACAGTGTGAGAATATCACAAGACGTGCTTGGCCCTTGCAAAGCCCACTCAGGTCTTTCAGCTCATGCGAGGGAGCTTCAGCAGAATTCTGAGTATGATAATCCCTGAATGGGGCTGACCAGCAAGGCTACTATGAGGCCTGTACACATGCGTTCCAAGATGACATGTCCTCTTTTGTCATAATCCATGATGTGCATGGTATCACTGGATGGCCCACCCCTCCATAATAAATATCTTCCAGTATTTACAGAAATTGTGGGGCACTGTGATGATGCATAGTAGTTTTGGTTCTCATAGTGAAACCTTGTATTAAAAATAAATTATTTCTTTATCTTATATCTTTTTCCCAGCCTTGCCACGTAATTTCTCACTTTTTTGCAGCATGGACAATCCATCTTATTTTACATCATTTTGCTCATAGTGGCTATAATTTCACATGGAAACAGTCTTCTGTTCTAGTGTCGAGCAAATGCAGTCTGACAGTCCCATATATAGGGAGGTCACGATCGGCCATGATGTCGCAGATCGTCCTGCAAGTGCTTGCGCAAATCTACTGTGGCACAATGAAGAGTCTGTGCTAATCCTTATGCTGGGACAATTCATTCTATAATGCCACAAGAAGCAAAACCAGATTCTTTGACTAAGCATGACATAAATGTCTTAGTATTTGGCATGGAAATGTCAAGCTGACAAAGTAGCTGAGTTTTAGAAAGGCAGAGATCAGGGCTGGAGGCAACACGAGTTTGCAGGATGTAACTTACTGTTTTTTTTATATTGTTTGCTTTGTGCAAGCCTGGCTAAACTTGGTAAGCCAATGTTTTGTGAACTATATTCAAGGGTGCTTCCAGGGTCCAGGTGCACGAGGAAATGACACTGAACTAAATGAAATGCTTATTTTACACATCACTTGTTTAGAAATGTCAAGTATGAATTTTTACTGATATATTAAATAAAGCCCAATTTACTTAAACAAACCATTTTCCTGGCACTGCAGGTCCCCTCTCCCTCCCGCCCCCCATCCCAAGTTGCTAAAGGGGTTTAAACCCCTTCAGTGACTTACCTGTATCCAGTGCCGATGTCCCTCGGCGCTGGTTCAGGGTCCGCCCATGCTCATCCGGCGGGGGAGACCTATTGAGCATGCGCAGCCACCGGCGGAGACCTAATGCCGCGCACGCGCATTACACCTCCCTATAGGAAATCATTAAAGAATGCTTTCTATGCTTTCCTATGGGGATTTCATAGCGTGAGGACGTCCAGTGACACTATAGCACACCTTTCGTGTGCTATAATTAAGGAAGTGCCCTCTAGTGGCTGTCTGGTAGACTGGTAGACAGCCACTAGAGGAGGAGTTAACCCTGCAAGGTAAATATTGCAGTTTATAAAAACTGCAATAATTACACCTGCAGGGTTAAGGGTAGTGGGAGTTGGCACCCAGACCACTCCAATGGGCAGAAGTGGTCTGGGTGCCTGGAGTGTCCCTTTAAATCGGTTACACTAGCCAAATTGTGCCAAAGTGACTTTAAATATGGTAATAAATATGTTTTAGGGAATAAACCTTAAAATGTAAGTACTTGCCAGGACCACAAAATAATAGAGGAAATCCACAGCTAAAATGTTAAATGGTTTATCAATGTTCTTATTATTTTGTGAATTTGATCCACAGATCTGTTAGTTGTCTGGCATCTGTTTTACTGGCCTACAAGTAAGGAACAGGGGTTAATTAAATGGTTTTACTGCATTATGGTCAGGCTGCAGAGAAGGATTAAGATCGCACAGGGCCCTAGCAGGTTACCAGTCCCCCCTTCATTCTTCACATACAGATGGTTAATGGAGCCAAAAAAAATCATGCTTTTCTGTCCCTGTCTAACCACTGGACACTAGGCAGCTGCCTAGGATTGCCTTATGGTTAAACCTGATTTGCCAGGCTGGTCCATTGAAGGGTCTCAGTTAGAGGTGATTTTTTTTTTTACTATACTCACACAACCTACAATACCAACAGCCTGGCTTATTAGTGGCACACTGGCATTGGATTGCCAGTGTCAGTCTGGGAGGCAGCCTTAATATTTATATATGTATTTAAATATATGGTTCTCAGAGCAGGAATACAGATTATTTGCCAAGGAATGTTTAATCCTGCCACAGTACATTGAATGGTTTATATTTTATTCCCTGAAATACTTTTTTCACCGTTTGATGTATTATTTTGCATAAACATTTCAGGTTAGATTCTGTAATGAGAAAAATACATTAGCAAAACTGAATTATATCGCAAAACTGAATTATATCTCTTTCAGTGTCTTACTGAGGTTCCACCACTGCAGATCTCTGAACTCTGTGATTATAATAATGCTGTACTTAAATGCTATAAAGTGTTTTGCCTATTTTCAACGTATAATGCAATGTTTGCTATGCAGTGCATTCCGAGCGCACATTGAGATTCTGCACCATCTTCTAGACTCCGAAATTGTTTTAAAAAGAAAATTACCAGCGTTTCTCTGTAGATAGGGTTATAGAGTTGCTCCGTCACCCAGGATGGATATCAATCTGGGCATAATGAATGTACTAAGTACTGGCAATTGGAAAGAAAATAATTCTAAAAACAGTGTGTGAAAAAGTCTCAATAATAAATATTCTGTCTGTTTTTCCTTATACGTTCTTTAAAGGGTAGAGCTGAGCACAATAACAACTTGTGTGATTGCAAAGATTATGGTGCACAGAGTACACCGCACCCACTCAGTACTAAAGCACTTTGTATGAATTGATTCAACTGTAAATCCCCCAGCCTCAGTAAAGAAAGATTTTTATTGCCTCCCTGAATCAGTCAGTTATGTCCAATTTGCGTATGTGGCATATTTAAATCGTAATAGCATTATTGTTGTAAAATGATTTTTGGAAAGGTAACAGTGACAGTGCCACTAATGAAGTGGATTTTATCCACTTTAGCAGAATTGTGCCATGCCTCCCAGAATTTGTTGGGACAGTCCCACCTTAGTTCCCTGGTGCCCTGCTTATGGCTAGCCCAGGCACTGTCCCCAACAATCATTGCATGAGCCCATTAATAAATGAAGATAGAAGAGGATTAGACCCTATAGGGAGCACTGAAGCGGTGCTCCGCGCAGGGTCTGCCCTCAGTGGGCCATCTTGCCTGAGTGATAGGCAGCTTGTCAAGCATTAACGTCCGGCTGACCTGCCATTAACCCCTTTTTGGGTGAGTCCACGCATTTGGGGTGGAGCCAGTGAGACAATAATGTCACTTGCCCTCCCCATTATCCTCCCTCCCACCAGTGTCTCGAATTGCAGGACGCTGGAGTCGGGAGGTTTGCTGTACACTTTACATAATGATGTTATTACTTCTGTTGCATCACACCCTCTGCCCCAGGCGCAACCTATCCTCATAGCATGAGCCGCGGCTGGGCAGCAGGAGGAGGAATCCGGAGGCGCAAAATGCCGCGCTGTCAATGTGCTCCGCCCTCACGGTGTTCTGAGCTGAGTCGCTCTGACATTGTGTGTGGGCGGAGCCACGGCTGGAGACCCTGTAGTCCAAGCAGCGAGCAGGGGGAGGAGCAGGGTGAGTGATTGCTAATATTGTTATTTGTATTTTTTAAAGTGTTTGTGCTGGAAAGGCAAATTTAAAAAAAAAGAAATCTCTTCCTGCAATACGTTGTGGGGCGCCTGAGGATGCACAGGGCCCCAGCAACTTATTGCTCTGCAAATTACCCCCTCTTCCCTTTCTCAAAATGAGACCGGCAGCTTCACCTACGCTCTGCCAGATCTCGTCCTTCCTGTCCCACGAGGCACTATGTGTGCTGGGGAAAGGCAGGGCTAAGAAGTGACATCACGTCCTACATTCTACTCACACACAGACCTTTCACAGCCAGCGAGGGGAAGGAACAACAGCCTGTCAGAGAATACTGAAAGAGAATAGCAGGTAGGACATAAAAAGGGGAATACTGGGAGAGACATCAGGGAACAGGAGAGAGGTAGGAAGAATAATGGGATAGATGGGGAGAAATCACAGGGAGCAGAGAGAGGGAGGAAATAAAAATTGGAAGATGGGGAGAGAAAAGTTAATGAAAGCATTAGAAAAATAGTGCCAAATATGAGTGCCATGGGAATGGGAGAACAATGTAAGGAACAGGTCATGGAAGAGATGTAGGAAGCAATCAGAGGGAGACAATCATGGTAAGAGAGCATGATAAGTGCATTTGCTGTTCAATTTTGGGCACCTGTTCTAAAGAAGGATATTATGGCACTAGAAAAAGTGCAGAGACAAACTACAAAATTGATAAAAAAGGAATGGAGCATTTTAGTTACGAAGAAAGGTTAAAATAATGTAAATCTCTTTAGTTTGGAAAAACAGCACCTCAGAGGGATATGATAACTTTATACAAATATATTCGGGGCCATTACAAACCATTATCTGGAAATCTATTCATAAACAGGGCTTTACATAGGACACGAGGTCACACATTTAGGCTGGAAGAAAGGAGATTTCATCTACGGTATAGGAAAGGTTTTTTTTACAGTAAGAATTATAAGGATATGGAATTCTCTGCCTGAAGAGGTGGTTTTATCAGAGTCCATACATACTTCCAAAAACATAACATACAGGGATATAATTTCTAATTAGTGGGGTAATTGGGTAACTGGGTTTTTTGCCTTCTTTTGGATCAACAGCAAAAAACAAATGTGAGGAAGGCTGAACATGATGGACGCTTTTCAGCTATGTAACTATGTAACTATGTAATAGCTGCTTGATCCAAGGAGATATCTGACTGCCATTTTGGGGTCAAGAAAGAATTTTTTCCTGGTTTGTTGCAAATTTGGAAGCACTTCAGACTGTATTTTTTACCTTATTTTGGATCAATAGCAAAAACATATGTGAGAAAGGCTGAACTTGATGGACGCAAGTCTCTTTTCAGCTATGTAACTATGCATGGGAACAGCAATGGAAAAGAGAGAGAGATGATTGAAAAGTATGGGGAAAGGAAATAGGGGCTAGTGGAAAGATATGGGTTGAGGATTGCAGGACTAAGACTGCTGGTAATGTAAAATATGTAATAATGGTGCTGTACAGAATATGGGTCAGTGTTTGTTAGTTTGTCTGTGTGTGAGTATTGAGTGTGTGCATAAGTCAGAGTGTGTGTTTGTGAATATGTGAGTCAGTGATTGTGTCAGAATGACCGTGTGTGTCAGTGATCGTGTCAGAATGACAATGTGTGAGTCAGTGATTGTGTCAGAATGACAATGTGCGAGTCAGTGATTGTGTGAGTCAGTGATGGTGTGGGTCTGTGATTGTGTCAGAAAGACAGTGTGTGGGTAAGTGATGGCTTACTGAGTGACTGTCAGAATGGCAGTGTGTGAGTCAGAATGACAGTGTTTGGGTCAGTGATTGTGTGAGTCAGTGATTGTGTCAGATTAACGGTGTGTGGGTCAGTGGTTGTGGGAGTCAATGTTCAGTTTTTACAAGCATTGTTTATATATGCATAATACACTCAAATTGTAGAAAAAAATAAATAAATAATCACATTACTTTAAAAATACAGCCAAATACACACACATGCTGTACATACAGGCAGCACACACACACACACAGACACACATTACATGCATACAGGCAGCAAACATATACACATTAATACAGGCAGCAAACACACACGTAGCCAGCACACACACCATGACAAAGGGAGAGACTACACTCAGGGTAATTCACTAAATTTGGAATTTTTGCAAAATAATTCCAAATTGTAAAATTAAAAAAGTTAGAGAATATTTCTAGATCAACTATTTTTGCCTTTTTTTGTCCAGTCAGATTTAATTAGTGAAAATTAATTTAGCAAATAGCCCTGGCAGTGTCCATGGTTCTAGGCAAGGGTCCCCGATCTTTGTAATTGATATTGTTTGTTGTCAAGTAGGTTGTCATGACAGACCAGTATATTGGTCTACTACTTTAGTCCCTTGGACAAGTAGATTTAAAAAAAAAAAAAAAAAAACAATCCACACCCCTGTATATGCAGTCACACACTAACGCTCAATATGCATATGCGTTCACACCGACTATACAAAAAGCACATGCAGTCATCCAGACATGCACAGACGCATTCACACAGACTCAAATACAAACATGCATTGATACACAGGTCTTCACACTGTACACATCCAAAGAAATAGTGTATTATATGAGTTATAGTTCACATTCATTTAATGCATTTAATTTATATTTAATTTTGCCTAGGGGCCCCGAAGGCTCTCATTCCGTCCCTGGAAATGGCAGATTGTTGGGGCGAAATGGCATTGTTTTACCTTGCCAGAGAAAAAGGACAGGTTCTGTGTACCAAAGGACATGGTATATGTAACAAAACCATGCATGTTACCATGGCTTTTACCTTTGTAACAGACTAGCTCACACTAGAGGTTGTTTTGCCAACATATTCCATATTACTTATGATGGAGAAACAAAACATACAAGATAAAGGAGTAGAGGAGTTAAATACATTGATCAAATGAACATACGGTCTAAAGGAAGTGGAGTATAGAAAAATGACTAGGTATAAATTATGTGAGGTATATTTTATGTAACATAAGCTAGTTTTAGATGTTCATAGGACACCAGTATTGAATACGTTAACATCTTTTTAAGATTCTCTATCTATGTATGTTAAATAAGTATTTGTTTAATGTATGTATGTTCAGACTGTTTTGAAGAACAACCCGTACTCTTTGGAATGACATAACCTAACGTTTAAAACCTATATTCAGTTTAACATATAAGCTATTTTTTTTTTATTTGCTACAGCAAAAAGAACAATATCTCAATATGGAAGCTGCTTAAATAGTACTTTCGATCTTGCGTCTTGCTGACTTTTATGCAAATCATTCAAAATTATAAAAATAAACTTGTATTTTCCTTTTTTTCATACAGTTTCAGGTGGTTCATTCTTTTTTTTTACTGTTCTATTCTTTTGTGAAGCAAGCAACCTACTTGCCCATATAAGAGATTCATTTTCATCTTAGCTTAGGTTTAAAAGAAAAGAGATATTCCAACTGCATATAATTGTTCCATTTATGAAAGCATCATCGCAGAGAGAAGAAATCGGTAAATTAGACACTGGGCACTTTGCCAAATGTCAGGCTAGTCCGTGAGTTTAAGATTTACTTTGTCGTTCTATGGATATCCTACATGAATAGACACATAACTGAATAGACTCACTAAACATATCAGCTTATATTTTAAGGAAGAATTTTACTTCTACCCTTGTATCAGTTGATAGATTTTTTATTTCACTTGCTGTGAGCAAATTAAGCGTTGCTCAGAAATGTATTGCACACTCCTTTGGCACTAAAAGGCAGAGAAACAAGTTCTGAACCAAAACAAAACCTGGAATTTGAAATATATGTCTGTTCAATAAGAAGAGAAAAGAAATTGAGCCAGTGGTCCAACTGGTACACTAGAGACAGGGGGTAACCCCAAAGAAGAATCTTGTATGGGTGAACAAAAAGTAGTGTACCAACAGGAACTGGGATGTAATATACTCTAAATAGAGTGCCAGCTAACTTCCAGACTTGGAACAGTTAAAATAAAAAATAAATACATTTTATTAAATAATCAAATGAAAAACTAATTATATACGGAAGTGCTCGTGTACAATAAGTGAGTGAACCAACAGGTTAATGCAATATCTGGTGAATGCAACCAGCTATTATGGTAACATAAATTTCTGCTATTCGTGGAAGGTTAGGCTCAATAAAACAAAAACTGCCTGTTATCAATAATGTTGAGCTGCCTATTTGCATTAATATACGGATACCAACTTGCTAGTTACCCTTAGTACTGGTTGGTATCAACTAGGTACGTATCAAAACAACCTGTTGAGGGATCATGCTATATGATTAGTCTGATATGGATGTGCCACGGTATATAACAGTAAAATTCAGCAAGAAGGGAGAGTCACATAGCAATAAGAATATACATAACGGGAGAAAAAGGGGGGGGGGGGAACTAAGCTGTGAGTCAGAGTGAATGCTAAATCTTAAAAATGTACGGAATATCTATCTGACAGTGTGAGAGGAAGATGTCCAGTATAACCAATGGCATATATACTAATATTCCTTGCTGATAGGTTGCTTTGGCAGATACCAATTTGAATAGGTATTCAAGTAGTACTATGAGAATGGAAAGATGAGTACTGTCGTAAACACAATGAAATCTTCACTTCTAGAGTGATCACTGATAATTCCCTTCCGTGCTAAAATGGGCACCTCTTTCTATTCCCACACTCGATGTCAGAAACGCTAATATAATCCTCCCGTGCCTTCTCGTGTTGGTCCCACACTAGAACACAGTAAAGAGGAAGGCATAGCTAATAGTACACTCTGCAACTTCCTTCCCGTGCCTTGAAGGGCACCTATAGCTAGTCCCACTCTCTACTACTATTGCATAATCCCTGAAGAACTGAGCATGATAGCTTTGTGAATAAGTGACTGGTTTAAAACATCAGCGCGGTAGCAAGTCCGTATGCTATCACAGGATGAAACTGAAGCCCATGGAGCAACACAGTGGAGGAGTGGGCCTTGACTGGCCCAGGGAGTGGGCAGGTGTAATTGAGTTAGGGGCTGGTTTAGGTTAATGCAGCTCGGGGGTGGAGGTTAGTTAGTTAAATAGCAGCCATCTTAGAGAGTTGCCAGTTTAATCTGAGCCTCACTTACCTGTTAGTTGTCCCGCCCACCCTCCCTAGGTTTTTGAGGTAATTTCCAGTTTTGTCACAGCGGCAGGAACAGGGAGTGGTAAATTTGGAATTTTGGTGGAAGTGGAAAGGCCAAGATCTAGGCTGGAGTGAAATAAGTGTTGGTAGGTTCGAGCTCTTCGGTTGCTACGAATCTAGGGGTGTAGGGGTGTCTGGGTACACCCCTACAGT